GAAGTAGTTGCCATTGAAAAAAGTTTACCTCTATGATGATCGGTAGCAGAGATCTAACTAATTTTTTTTTTTACTTTTGCAGGTTACATGTATAAATATTTACATTTGTAAATGTTTTCCTTTATATAACACTTCCGAAAGCAATTCGTACCTATAACTGTATAAATACTGGTAAGGGGTCAGGAGGTCATAGATGTGCGTATGAATAAACGTTCGACGTAATTTCTCAGTGACATCATAAAGGGTCGACGCGCGTTCAGTGGATTACGTACATTCCATTCGGTTTGAAAAATAATGCATTTCACACGTTAAAAGTCACAATCAGGCAAATATAAAGTATAAATGAGTCACAAATGTAAATATAGGTAATAAGGTATCATTTTAAAACATCTATCGGGCGATATATACGGGTTGGTACGAGATCAAATTCATCTCGTGAATTTAATCTCGTGACCAACCCGTATTTATATCTCGTTAGATGTTTTAGAATGATACCTTATTTTTTAATTATGTTTTTCTCTGAAGTGGTTGCCGCAGCCAATTCGCGATTCAACAATGAAACATTTTATCCTTTAAATCAAGAATTTTATTTCTTCTTAATTCATCTTTTTTCCAAAAGAAAAAAGAATTTCATTCAAGATGTTTTACTAGACAAATGCAAACGTTGAACTGAGCAACATTAATATACGATACATCTTCGCTTAAATTTCAATCGCCGTTTAGTTTCGTGACGTCCGACAATGTCATTGTTTTTTTAATGTTCGATTCTTCTACCTCATACACTTATTTTAATGTGATTCCCTTGAGCTGAGTAAGGACTTAAACATGACATTGTTAAACCTGTCTTGATTGTATGACTTAAAAATGTCTTGAACAGTGGCTCTCATTGTATAAAATGCAAATGGATTTATACATTGGGAGAAATCCCCGCTTGATTGTGCCAGCATATTTTGCTTTTTGGAGTTTGATATGTACAACACATGATCTACAGTGATTGATTTAATTTTTCACACCTTGAGTACAGATCGACATTAACTGTGCATCAATTTTCTCTCTGAATCTATTTTATTTCAAGCTCACCGGGATATGGTATCGACGTACATGCGAGTGTCCTTACTCAATTTTTTGCTAACCGAAAAATGTGCATTTTAACGTATTCTTCCAAGATATTCTGTTCATTAAAAGTGGAGTTATAAATGGTATTTCATTATTTGATTATACGATAATTGCATTTTATTAAGAATTTAAGATAGAAAAAAAAGTACTCTGGATGCATTTTATTTCTTCGTAGTCAGTTTAAACATTTTCAAGGTCTTTACCAGTTTTTCAGGGGAAAAATATAAAAGAATATTGGAAAAGGAGACCACTCCCCCTTTTTGATGTCATTTTTCATGGCCTTATTTATTTAGATACTCTATGTAAAATTTACGATAAGATATCATAGAACTGCAAGAATGAGTTAAAAATTCCATATTTCATGGAATGATAGTATTTCAACACGTACATGAATTAACAGATTTAGGGATGCCAAATATTCATATCAAAAGAGTTTTACCCAGTTACACAGCCTGGAAATACCATGACTTACAAAAACATTACTAATTTATTAAAAATTAAATTCATGACTTGTGGTTTATTCCATAGATAGAAAAGATTATGTTCACAAGATATTTCAAAATTCATTGATGTACCTACAGCGGTTTTAATTTTATTGCGCTGGTCCACGAACTTGTTGATACTCTCCTCGTATATATAAATAAGACATAATGTTCTTCTGTCTGATCGGACATACCTACATGACGGATATGGAGATAACGAACAGTATTCAATCAAAAAGTCCATAAAACAATACAAAAAAGAGGAGAGCAAACACGGACCCCAGAAACATCAGAGGTGGGATCAGGTGCCATGGAGGAGTGAGCATTCCCTGCCGACCGGTCACACCCGCCGTTTGCTTTTTGTCATGATCAGGAAATAACGGAAAAAAACTGTTGTCAATTCAGTGTATAAAAAATAGACTAACAATTGGTATGAAAAACGTCAGTCACTATTTGACTCAATGATAAATTGTATTTGCTGAAAAGGGCATTGCTTCGATTTAAATAGAACTTACGAAATGATGACTTTAAACGTGACTGCTGATATTTTTTTTCTTCAACTTATTTGCCAATAATTTACCTTGTTTAAGATATTGTTCATACGTAGAGAATGCTCTCGTATCAACTGAGATATATAAACTCCGTATGCAGGTGATGAAGTTATATTGCTGCATAAATGAGGGAGGTTCACAAAAGAAAAGTTAATGTCATCACGTTTATCATAGAGCATGGATGTTACATGTATATTACGATAAACGTTTTTTTTTTAAGTAGAATATCCAAATATGAAACAGATGTGTCAGACTCTGTGGTATCTTTTATCTCACGTTCACCAGGATATATCGTATCGAAATAAGAATGAAAATTACCGTTGTTAATTATCGATACGTCGTCGATAAATCTAAATGTCGAGTTGAAGGCCACTGCAAGTGTTTTCTACTTTTCTTGCTATAGATTTTGCAGAAATTCTGCTTCATATGAATGCAGAAATAGGTCTGCTATTAACAGGGTGCAATTGGTACCCCTTACCTGGGTTGATCATTGATAACTGGAGATAGTTAACTCCCTTAAGTCAAGTTGGCTTAGTAACTTTGGTTAATTATACACTAAAGAGTTCTACTTCCGGTTACATAATTTTTGGTGCCGTGACCAGGATTTGACAGGTGAAAGATCTGCCATGGATGAGCCTTGGTTAGGGTCTTTGGAGGGCCAAAGACCTTTAAGGAGGGAGAAATGTGGCGGTAAGTCGGGTTCTATCGCCGGTGGTCATATAGCTCAGTTGGTACAGCACCTGACCGGAGTGTCAGGTGGCCCGGGTTCGAATCCCCGGTCTGGTCCGCTGCATTTTCTCCTCTCCCGTTACATTTGGTGCCGTGCCATGCACTGGAACTGACAGGTGAAAGACCTGCCAAGGATGAGCCTGGGTTGGGGTCTTTGGAGGGCCAAAGATCTTTAAGGAGGGAGGAATGTGGCGATCAGCCGGGTTTGATCGCCGGTGGCCAGATAGCTCAGTTGGTACAGCACCTGACCGAAGTGTCAGGAGGCCCGGGTTCGAATCCCGGTCTGGTCCGCTGCATTTTCTCCTCTCCCGTTACAGTTAGATATAAAGAATTAAAATAACTCAACAAGTAATATTGTTTCCTTAAGTTTAAAAAAAAAATGAATTTTGACAATGTTACAATGCATAAATTTTAAACCCAGTCAATATTGCACATATTTTAAAGAAAGTTTAAGCAGATATTTTAAAGCGAGTTGCAGTTTATTTGGAAGCTACGGAAGTCCATTAGTGCAAACCTCTATATATAAAGGAAATGCGATATATATAAAGAAAACCTCGATATATATTAAAGAAATGCGATATATATATAGAAAACCTCGATTTATATATAAAGGAAATGCGATATATATGAAGAAAACCTTGATATATATAAAGAAAATGCGATATATATAAACAAGACTTCGATATATATAAAGAGAAAAATTTCCACTGCCTGACCTTTAACATGTTTAATGACCTACATTTCAACAGAGACTTCACCAATATATCCATGATAAGCAGCTCCCGGTCCAATGTTTTGATTGCAATCAGTTGATGTGGCTCTTTCAGGATGGTATTCAGCGTGTTGTGTTTTCTTCCTTTGTGTATCTTAATAATTATGCCGATTAAAACTAAAGCTAAAGCACTCTGTTCTTCTTACATTTCAGACGTGTTGGGCAGAATTACACCAATGAGTGATTTTCGGCTTAAAATGTACATTACATGTACATAGCACTAAATGTTGGGGGTCTTTTTCAATCGAAATATAATTCGGTGCAAAAATACAAGTGTGTTTTATCATGTTTTATAAGTTCTTTAACGTTAATACTATGTTTTTACATGATGTAGATTTCCAAATCGATTTAATTTACGATGTGGAACAAAAATCCGCAGTTTAAGTATGTAAGTGTGCATGCGCTAACTCGTTTCGTTTTATTTATTAACAAATACTTTATTTTTTCACACCAAAAGACCCTTAAATTATTATATATACGGTAAATAGTACATGTCGCTTTCTTCCCTCGTATTCAAATGAAGTGGGTACCTTCATCTATCCCATTCCGATTCTTTTTTACAATCAATGGGCATACAAGTAAACTATTTTTATAATGAATTTAAATAAACTTGAAATAGGGCATTAAAAAGTACGTGCTAAGACTCCACGTTTAACATTATATTTTCATAAATTCTCGGTTGTGAAACAAAAGTAAAACAAAAACAACAAAAAAAAAGAAGCGAAAACAAAGGTAGGTTGTCAAAAAACGAAGTTGATCAAAATACATGTAAAGCCAATAAAACACAGAAAATACGATACATAGGTTACATTAAAAGTTTAAATCTAAAGTTTAAACTTATTTGTACCTATCTAGATAAGTTTGAACTTTAGATTTAAACTTTTAATGTAACACATATACTTAATTATGAATGCGTTTAAATGATTTAATTAAATGCTCTTCTTCTCAATTAAGTGCATTATTTTAAGTAGTGTTACAATTACAGTTCATTGATATATGCATGTACTGTTTAATTGATTTCCCCCTACTAGTAGTTAATCTGATATAATCTTGATGGACAGCTAAGCGTTACAGGTCACGCTGTGGAAAATTATCTCTTTATATATATCGCATTTCTCTTTATATATATATCTCGGTTTTGTTTATTTATATCAGGTTTTGTTTATATATATCACTTTTCTATTTATATACCGGGTATATGGAGGTTTTGTTTATATATCACATTTCCTTTATATATATCTAGGTTTCGTTTGCGAGGGGGTGATCAAAAAGTTCGCAAACTAATTGATAACTTTTAAAATATTTTTCAAAGTGAGATTTTGAGTTTATACTTTTTCAAAGTAGGCCCCTCTAGCTTTTTATGCACTTTTCCCATCGGTCTGCCCATGCGCAAAACACATTATCTATGCCATCACGTGACATGACCCTTAGCACCTTGTTTACAGCAGTACCAAGATCTTCCCGGGACTCATATTTTTCTCCCCGTAGGTAATCTTTCAAAACTGAAAATAGCCAGAAGTCACAAATTGCCAAATCTGGGCTGTAAGGGGGGGGGGGTGAATTAGGTTTTCTATACCCTAGTGTTTCCATGGTGTCCATCACAACCCGACTTTTATGGCTAGGTGCGCGTTATCATGGTGCAGAATGAATCTACATTATCAGATCTGGCGCTTTCTCTTTACTGCTCTCATCAAATCTGATTTGATAACCCGTGCATAGTAGTCCCCAGAACGAAGTTTTGGGTGGTACCATGTGATTTAGAATTATACCGTTGATGTCACAGAAAACTATGAGCATAACCTTCCCTGCTGACTTGGTTACGCGTGCTTTTATTGGTGATGGCGAGGAAGGAATGCATCCAAATTTAACTTTGTTGTTTACTTTCTGGCTCATAGAAATGTACCCAAGTTTCATCACATGTGATGATTCTATTTATGAAAGAATTTTGTTCTTTTTCATATTCACTAACGTAGGACCGGCACGCGTTCACTCTCACCCTTATTTGCTCTGGCAGAAGGAGGCGAGGGACCCAACTCGCACAAACTCGCCGCATGTTAAGCTTACTCGTTAAAATCTCTTGAACTGTTCCATAAGACATGCTAAGATCATTAGCTATTTCCCTAATCGTAACTCTTCGATCTTTCATTACATATTGTTCAACCTTAGACACGTTTATCTCGGTACTAACGTTCAGCGGGCACCCAGATCTATCATCATCTTTCACCGTCTCCCTTCCCTCAATAAAACGTTTCATCCACTTACTTATTGAACCTTTTGAAAGCCCACTTCCCCATAAAGTTTATGTAAATCATCGTATATTTCCGTGAAGGATTTACCATTTCTACATAAAATTTTGTTATAGTTCTTTGTTCAAGTACGATTCATTTATCCATTTTCGTCACAGTCGCCTCTATATTGACGTCATTTTAACATCATGACGTCATAATTATGACGCACATTTCAACATGACTCATACTGCATAAGGCAAATGTTTAGGACTATATTTGTGACAAATTTCATTCTTGTCAGAACTGTAGTTAGGTAGATAGAGAATTAGTTTGCGAATTTTTTTATCACCCTCGTATATATATCGCATTTCGTTTATATATATCAAGGTTTTGTTTATATATATTGTATTTCCTTTATATATTAGGTTTGCTTTTATATATTGCATTTTCTTTATATAGAGAGGTTGGCACTGAATGGGCTTCCGTAGGAAGCAGAGAATATTTTAGTATGTGATCATAGCTTTGCCAAAGATTTTAATGCTGCAGTATTTTGCACTAGATTTTATGTTCAATCTTTCTTTTAAATCATTCTTTATATCTTTCGAATTTTTTGACATCCTTTTTTTAAATTGATTTTTAAACACTGTAGTGAGGAGAAAATAAAATATGTATCATAAATAAGTACTGAAACACATCTCTTTCGTATTCTAAAATAGCCTTTTGTAAAATAAAACTCTTAATAACTTGTTTTTTAAAGGACTGCTTTTCTTTTAGCACATGTAAAAGCAGCTAGTACAGTGTAATAAAAAAATCCAATCTTTAATGTCATTATGATAAAAAGGATCCACTCGGCATGCTTTCACATGAGGTATAAAATAAATCTTGATTAAAGGATACTCTGCTGTAGCATGAAGAGACAGCTGATAAAGGAATAAGATATTCACTCAGAAATAATAGCGCAAAAGCATGATATGTAACACACATGATTTAATATTAGTCTAACCCAGTACTCTATATTTAAAAAAATTAAAACTTAGCATTTTTTGGTTTATGTACAATAGTCCAATATGGCGTAATCCAATTTTGGATTCATTTTCAGTTTTATCAATAGATAATATTTGAAAGCGAGTATTAGTAATAGATAAAACGTCGAAATGTTGAAAGATTGAATTGAATGCCACACTAAGAATTATTTTCATAGATTTAAAAAAAATGCTTCATATAAATTCAAAAATAAGTCTGCTATTAACTGTTCAAAATTTGTGCCCATGGAAATTCTGAGAGATCGGTGTAAGATCTGCAAAAACAACATAGACCTTTACATGGAAGGATCAAACAATATTTATATATATCTGAGAAAATGTTTGACAAAATGATCTTGCAAATGACGAGATTAATAAGTAAAGTTACGGTCCAAGTTTTATTTAAAAAAAAAACGTTATCTATAATCTTAAAAGATAGGTTTTTCATTTTTCGCTCGTGAATGCATGGTTATTTTAGGTATGAAAAGTCGGAGGTTTTGTCAAGTTGATTCCTATATCGTTGTTTATATTCTTTTGGGAGGTAATAGACCGGTCCTTCGGGTGAGACTGTTTAAAACGAGGTCCTGTATCGCTATGAGTAAAGACAGGAAAAGATTAATTCCTGCTCAAGCCGTAAATGCTGAGTACATGCTTGAATTTCGAACCCTCCACTACATGTAATATAGTAAAAAAAAATTGAAGGGAAGTTAAATAATCAAACACAGTCATTGTATATTATTTTTCTAAATATCTTTTAAAAAACTTTCTTTCCTTAGATCATATAAAAAGCATTTCAATACTCCCTTGTCGATCTGATATGTACGATCGTATTTTTTTACGATATATTGAACATTTCTCACAGTAGTCATAAAAACATGTAAAACAGGCAATCGGTAGAAGATCTAAAAAGACATGTCTAAATTAACATCCCTTTGATAGATAGAAAGTTTTACTACGGTATGAAAATTACTTCAAAGGCTGGAAGACCTTGATCTACAGTGATTCATCCATAAAAAGTGTCAAAAATATGAACCTTTTTTGAATAACTGAGGTGTCGAAAAAAAAAATCGGTCTTAAAGAATGAAATAGTACGTACTCCTTGAGACGTTCTCATAAGAGTTTAATGTTGAAAAAAACAAATAACTTATTTTCCTTCATATTTTGATATATCACTGATTATAAACCGGTCATTAACTGAGGTTTCCGAGTATATATTATCAGTTTTTGTTTAGAGGTAAAGCAATGGACTTCGATTTGTCAAGAAACTTTTAAAATAATTAACACATCAACTTTCGTTTGTAAGGGAGAAATTAGAATACATAAGGAAATTAGGACAGAATTTATATTTGTCAATTAGATATCATATAGATTTCTTAATTTTACAAGAAAGCACTGTTTATAAGCCAAGCATTTAATATTTTAGATAATATTGATTATCGTTCACACACGTAGAAAAATTAACGTAAAATGCAGGAAAATTTAGGGAAATATGAAATGGGATTAAATTTTATTTTGCTAAATACATGATACAACGAGTATCAAAGGTATACATAAGGCAAACAATAAAGGAGCCTTCAAAGTTCACAAGTATTGAATGCTACATCCTGCTTAAATCTTCTCACGTTGTGAATCTATAAAACAGAGATAAGAATTGCACATTTTAAAGATAATCAATAAAAGAAAAATATATGACTAAATGATTATCAAGTTCTCTATCCAGCATGTAAACTAATAGGCCAATGATAATATACGACGTGCAGCTTTTTAGTGTCCTTCACCTTTGAGAGGAATTAGCTTACTGGCAGTTCTATTCTCCACCTGGTTAAATCAAGATAACACCAGTGTG